AATTCAATAACTTCAGAGTTATTAACAACCTGATTTAAGGGTAAGAACTCCATTGTATGACTGCTTTCAATGGTAGATTGACTGACTGGCGGATCGAATAATTGCAACTCATCCGGAAACTTTTCAATAGTCGCTTGACTTTTCGCAGCTGAAGCCATTTTACTTCTAAACAATAGATGCCAGTGATTTTCCACGCGTTATTTTTTGAAAAAGACCAGTGCGTATCGTTCGGCGTCGAGATCGTCGCGTTCCTCTTCGTCGTCGCCGTCGTCGTCGTCTCCGATATTTTCCAATTACTGTAGACTGAACTATTGTCCGCCTAATTACAGACCGGTTGGCTCGCCTCCTTCTTTTTCTACCGTAAGATTTAGCCGTTTTATTTATTGTGGACCAAGCGTGCAAGCAGTGTCAGAAAACACTTTACAGACTACACGCAGCAAACAATTAATGAATGCTCCAACCCACACTTTACCTTCCTTTTATACATCATCAACCTGCAAAGTGCAGGGAAACACCACCCACACTTAACTAACCACGCCCACAACACTGCGACCAGACAAAAAACTAGAAAGCAATTAAAATTACGACACAAACTATTCAACCTAGTGAAGAGCACCAATATCATCATCATCATCATCACGATCATCCTACCGCTTGCGGCTTAGATTTTCGATAATGCAAAGTAACCGTAGTTTCTCCCAGGGTGTCTTCAGTCCACTCCATTTTCCAATCAGATTTCAGCGTTACTTCCGGATTAGCTTTACTGAACCAGTTTTGAACGGGCAGGTAAACTCGACTCTTTGGTTCATAACCCTTTTGGAGTTCTTCTGCAGTTGACAACGCTAGCACGTTTTCCAAACGTCCACCAAATCCTGTTGAATTAACATGACTAAGATGTAGAATGACCTGGCGCCGACCACGCGCCGGATCGACAGGAAGGCGGTGTCGAATAAGCCGAGTGTCACCATACTTCGAAAACGACTGTCCATGAAAATAACTAGTTAGAACGTGATGTCGTGTAATTCCAAGCACTTCGTCGTACGTCAGTCCAAGAGCGGCCGACAGCAAGTTCCCTCGGTTGACGAACTGGAAAACGTTTTTTTCGCTGACCCATTGAAATTTTCCATCAACCAGCTGAATTTGTGGCTTTTCGTTTGCCCATAACGTTGTTCCGCAGCTAACCATAATGGCTTCCACTACCCGGCTGATAGCAGACACAAAATCTGCTGGTGTTTTTCAAAGTCCGACTCAGTCAAAAAACCGTCAAAAACGCGTCACCACAATTAGGGCTACTGTGGTAAACAGTCAATTGGCGCTGCTCCGGTGGAATTCTAGTGAGTTTTGCTGAAGAATAGGCACGGACGAGGGCAACTTCCCAGGGCTCTTCCTGCTCCCGAAAGGATAGAAGGGGAAATTGCAACTTATTGGTAAAATGTGTCGGCGTATTATGAAGTATAAGCGTTCCGTAAGCCGGCGAGGCCGCGCTGTGTAGAGTGATATAGAATCCGTTGTCCATCATTCTGCTGCAGGTGCATCCTGTAAAAATATCTGTTACCCGACTGACAGATTCCGTACACTTGACAAGTCCTCTTTATAAAACTGCGATGGTCGATTTCGAGCTTCTCCTACTGCTCGCCCGTTAAGATCTGATAGACGGTACGTTATCACCGGGCCGTAAATTATGTCAGCAATCTTGAAAACTTCGTCCGAAAATGTGCGCGTATAGCCTTTGCTGAATTGCGATTTTTTAATTGCTACGCGGACTGCTTCACCAATCCTGAATGCGGGCTTTTGCAATTTAATGAACTTTTTCTCTTGGCCAAGTTTGAACAGCTGAGACTGATGTTGCACCGTTGTTTCAGCGGGTTTCATTTTTGTGCCGGCATGCACCCTCATGTTATAGTTGTTTACAATATTCTGGAGAGACGAGAACCAGTTGGGGCTTTTGGTGAGAGTAAAATGACGAAACAACGTTGTTTTTAAAGTACGATTGAAACGTTCCGCTAACGCTGCTTTAAACCGCGATGCCGAAATCTGATGTCGAATACCGTATCTTGCGTAAACTTCTTCCACTTTGTGATTTAGAAATTCTTTCCCAGCATCTGTCACTACAGAGAAGAAAACCAAAAACAGAACCTTTAAAAATGTACATTCAAAATTTACATACAAAATACCATTAACAATACCTAAAACAACCGGGCGCCTATTTTGAAAAATCTTTTCCATAGCTTTTGCAACATTGTTGCTTGACTTGCTCACCAGAGGCTGGGAAAAGGCATATCGACTGACGCAATCCACTGTCGTTAATATATATCTGTACTTTTCGTTGAACTTTTTAATTTTCTGTAGTTCAACAAGATCTGCATGCCAAACGTTATCAATTCCCACACAAAAATTTTTTAGTTTGGGAAACTTGAACCGCACAGGTATATGGAGAGTGTGAATAACTTGCCGCGAGAGAAATTCCTTTACGTCCCGCAAAGTTATTTTTGAATGTATCTCATTCTGTTTTTCTCTGGCCGCTCTATGCAGCGCCCCAGCACCGGCAAGATAAGCTGGAGATGCAACATCAGTATAAAGTCTCTTTAGCAAGGTTGATTTTCGTCGACTTTCAGCAGCTGTTGGCATATCGCGCACTACTGGTTTTTTGCCGTTTTTGATCGGCAATTAGCGCTCGCTCGCTTGCTCTGTACAAACACTTACCAAATTAGTGAGCGTAATTGCAAGATATCCTTAGATTATTAGATTCCCCGTTTCCGTGGCACGCTCACACACTCACACACGCACACCGTGATTCCACTTTTAACACCAAATTAAAAGCAATGAACGGATGCACTAATGGGATGTTTATGTCTAGTGGTCGAGGTGGTGACGACAGGTGGTAGCCGTCAGTCAGTATGTTAATGTCAACAGTCTGAATAAGCGCGCTTGTCAGTCGCTGGTGATTTATATATACCAGTAAGTCACACCCACACAGACAATCACATGTCTCGCCCACTTGGGAGGCAGGACTGGGTGTGCGCAAGCGTATCCCATGGGGATGCTTGTGCAGAAGCGGACATCTGGATAATTATGCTATTATTCTCCTCCTCTTGACCACGCCGCCATTTTCGCCTACTGGCTGGCTGGCTACGGACAGACAGGTTTTATAAACCGAGCTGTATGCCGGCAGATCTCTGCAGTTGCCCGCTTGTTTGTGGGCAACTCTTCAATTCCAGTCGGCATGGTTCGGCGTCATTTCACGGCAATACTTGGAAGTGTTGGCAAACTTTTGTCCTTTGATCTAGATTTTAAAAGTCTGCCTAGAAAGAGAAACGAGGAAGTCATCTGCAAATGCCAGGCGGCAGTCATATCTGAAAAAATCTTTGCGGTTGGAGTGGGAAAATCGTTTGCAACGGCTAAACAAGACGGAGCTAGGAAATTATTGGCGGTAATATTACGTAATTACTATTCGTGTTTGTTGACCGTATTGGAGAAACCAGTAGAGCCCAGGACGACACAAGAATCCAATTATTACGATCGTATACGCCTCACCCATCTGTTGGACAATATCGCGACAGTTTTAAATTTTGACGTTGAGTATCGCCGCGTTCCTTCTGCGGAAGCAAGTCGCTGGAACTGCCAGGCAGCAGTGGCCAACGAAGACATTTATGTAATTGGTTCTGGACTAACTACCTTTTCAGCCAAGTCCGACGCTGCTCGTCAGCTTCTCTGGACCATCTTGCAGCGGTACTATAAGAGAATCTTGGAAATCTTGGAGTGCCCTCCGAATATTGCCTGCGGCGGCCGTAGTAAGCCGCCTTCAGCCTCTATCCTTTCCCCAGAATCACCACCACTATCTCACCAGCACATATTTTTAGAAAATGCCGCGAAGATCACTCCGTCTAGCCAGCCAGCGGTCTCTGTCAGCCGCTCCCCTTCAAGACAGGGATCAGCGGCTAAACACTAATGGTTGCCAGTTATCCTCATCCACACCGCCGCCACCACCACCACCACCAGCACCACCACCACCAGCAACACCGCCTCCCCCTTACAATAATACTACAAATTCTGCCAGGCTCACGCATTATCATGAAAACGACGACGACGACGACGGTGGCCCCGCGACCGCAGCCACCCGCGAATATGAAGTAACAGTGCTTTACTCCACGAACCGTGCCCACCAAGAAGATGACTGCCGCGAAAACACTCCGCCAGCAGCCCCTCCAACCACACCTACCTTTAACAACAACGACGACGACGATGACATAATTTCCCTGGCAGCCAACGTGTCAACCGGCTCCGAGTCCCCTCAAAACAGCCACCTTGCTTTGTCACTTATTTTGGTACGTCGCATGACTAAACATATATTCGGAGAGAAATGACTGAATAAAAAATATTATATATACTTCTTTTTACAACAGCCGTTGCCTGCGCCCGTTGTCACTCATCACTATACACTCGTCTGCTTGACACGCATCTCCAATTTCTACCATTTTCAAAATATTATGGAGCAGCCGCTTGTTCCACTGGATGCCTATTTTGAGGCTTCTCTCAATTCAACCGCCATCCCGCGCCCGGGACTGGAACCGCAGCCCCCGGCCAGCTATGTTCCTGACGCTTACCGCAAGTACACATATCTTGACATCTACCGCCACTTCAATGTCCGTCACATACAGCAGGTGTTAAAAAATTACTTTAAAAGCTTTGTACAATGTCAGCGTTGTGCTAGCTGCTGCACGCTTATTATTCGCAAACGCGGTAAATTGCGCATGTTTTGCCTGAACTGTCAGATACAAGTGGTGGTAAATAAGCGCATGGGAACTAGTTCCGCTTCCGGCAATAGCAGGCCTACAGCTGTTGTTTAATGCGTGCACGACCGCAACGTGAGCCAGCGCGAGTAATGAGTTCTGCTGCTGCGCTATTAATTACGATCACAATAATAAAATGTCATTGCTGCTGCAGTCATCACCATTACGAGAACCGCTACGTTCCTTTTACTTAAACGGTATCTTATTCGCCCAAAAACTATAATCACGTTCATATTTCATCGTCATCCGTTATGTAAAAAGTGCTGTGAACAGAAACTAAAAAATTTGCCAATGATTCCACAATAAAAAATGTTAACAGTCGATTGTTTTCAATTCCAAAAAGACTAACAAAAGTGTTCCGAAAATTTCACGAGAAAAAAATCGTTTACGATGACATTTATTCACCGTGCCGTTCCAGGCGGCGTCCAACTTCGCGCCCCCATGCCCGAGCACCACCTCCACCGTTTCGTCGTCGGCGTCCTCCACGTCCTGAGCGTCCAGGCGGCGGGAGTGCTTCGTCAGACGGTGGCGGGGGAAAATCGTAGCTGCGACCATCGTCCATACCGCCGCTGCCGCCGTCATGGCCGTGCTCACCAGCTGATAAATTATTATTTGTAAAACGAAGATGTAAAACGACCACTTCAAGCACGCCAAGCGTTAATTTGAGAAAATTTTTGAGTTTACCTTCACTCTCAAAATTGGCGGCATCGTCATCACCCACATCGTCTTCCTCCCACATTTCTTCTTCACCATCAGCCACACCACTGGATGGTGGATAAACATCGGGAGCATCATCCTGCTGCTCCTCGATCGATTCCATTCCGTGGACACCGCTGATACTGCTCCGATCTTGGGATCTAGCCAACTGTGACGGCAGACGGTATCCTGTTTTCTCGCAAAAAAAATTTAAATATGCCAGTATGTAAGAATAAGGTATCCGCAAAAAAAATATTTTACTTTAAGAAATACCTTCAGCGCTCACGCGATAAGATGTGTCGTGTCGGAGCGGCGCCGATGGAGACCCGGAATGTGTCGAGTAGGAAGAATTCCGGTGAAGTCGTCTGTTCGCTGTTTCCTCTTCCTCATTGTCTGCCAACAAAAAACTCTTCCAAAAATGGGATTATGAAATTACAACAACAACAGCAACAACAACAACACAACAACCAAATACTCTTCTGCTGCAACGCTTACCCGCAGAAATCCCTTGGTGACTAGCCAAATTGTTGCTGCTGTTGTTGCTGCTGTCGAGCCCAAAGTCCAACAGATTCCGCGATCCTATCAAAAAAATACATCGCATAGAAAAAGCAACTGCAATTCAAATACATTTTATAATATCGCCAGCTCCTACCGCGGCATTCCTCCCGGTTAGGAACAATATTCAGCTCGACATTCTGATAGATTCTGTCGTCTCCAGGGCCGCCGGCCATGCCGCCAGCGCGACCATTCACCTCCTCGTTCCCCGGCAGACCGTTATATTCGGGATTATAGTGCATCACGGCTTCATGTTGTTGAGCCGGTGGTGGTGGTGGTGGTGGTGGGGCGTCGGTGGGAGGCCGCTGCTGCCGCGAGAAGAGGAATGCCAATGGACTGGAGCGAGGCGTAGGCATATGTCGCGGGCGAGATGTGCTGAATGTCGGTGAGAAACTATGATTCTGCTGTGGGCGGAGTGGGCGACTTCGATTGAAGATCGGAGTGAAGGCAGAATCTTGCTGGGGTGGTACGCGAGGGTTGTTGTTCCGGTTGTTGGGATTGACGTTAGCGCCACCGCCGCTGGCTGCTCCTACACCGCTCACTCGACCTAGCCGGAAGCCGCGTTTCCACAGGACACAGATCACGATTATAACAACGAAGATGATAACACCAACGCTGATTCCTGCTGTGGCAAACTGGTCTAATGCCATCCCACGCCGTGTTTCGGCACCTACAAGCAGACACGGTGGACAGGACAAATTATACACAATTGCCCCGGTAGAAGCAGCAGAGGTTGCGGCGGGGTTAGTGGTTGTTGTAGTAGTGGTCGTGACAATGCTGAATTCCGCTGATGACAACAACACGGATGCATTGGAGGTAGCGGTGCCCACAACCGAAACAAAATTATTTTTTCCGTCGCTACCGCCATTGGTGATGTTGCCACCTCCATGGACATAACTGATGTTATTAAGAATTATCGTAGGAATAACTGTATTATTAGCAGTAGCGCTGCCGTCACGCCTGCTGCTGCTGCTGCTGCTGCTGTTTCCGGGCTCCTGCTGCACTTCCGACCGAGCGATATTAGTGCGTGTACTTGTGTTCACTGGTGGTGGAGGGGAATTGCCATGCAGGCGCGGTGCACTTGCGTTAATGCCAATGTATGAATATACAGCGGTTGCCGTAGCCGACGTGCTGTTCATCAGTGAAATGGTGGTAATGGTGGTGGTGGTAGTGGGTAAAAAATTGTCGAGGGTTAGTAGCCGATTAGTAGCGGAATTGCTGGCGTTATGGTTGCTGGACACCGGAACTGCTGAAGCCATTTCCGTTACCAGCGTCACAGCCGCCAATGTCGTTGGCGACGAAGACGAAGACGACGACGACGTTAGCGTTATGCTCGGCGTAAAGGATGTTGTTTCTGGTGATGTTAGCGTACTTGTCTTATTGGCGCGACTGACAGTTGTGGTTGTTGAGTCATCACCATCATCATCTATCACCGACGACGATGCTGCATGAGTCACAATACGATTGCCGACCGTGCTGCTGGTTTGCACTGACAACCACCGAGACCCGAAACGTAGAGGATGCAGGGACTGGCAGCGGCGACGGCGACAGCGGCGGCAGCGTCGCCGTCGCTGAGTGGCAACAATAACGCTGGCGAGGTTCGCTCCACTGTTATCGTTGTTATAAAGGTCGGGATGAATACGGTAGCAGTACTAGTAGTAGTCTTAGAGACGGTAGTAGTGGGAAAAGTAGTGATAGTAGTGGTAGTAGTAGCAGTGGTAGCGGAAATAGTACGATTAACAACCACAGCCGGGTTAACAGTGAAGCCGTAGCGTTGCGATAGTGTTGTTGATGTTGATGTTGCGCTCTTACCGCTATCATCACCGCCTGCGGGAGTCATGGCGCGCGTGCTGTACTCCTTGTCACGTGCAGGAGTGGTTGTTGACCATGATTCGGTGACAGTTGTAAATGGTGGCGTGCTAGGCTTCCAGCCTGGTCGAAATGGGGGTGTCGTTGCAGTAGTCCACGTGCAGCATGGAGGATATCCACAACCGCTACGCAAACCTATAATAATACTCGTGCACATATCACACTGCCAAGTTTCGTATTAGGCCTCGGATGTTACTTTTACCGTAATGCATTCAAATTTAAAGTATTTATTAGCTCGTTCAGTATATACCTGCAGGGCAACGATTGGCAATGACGCGCAGACCCAGGTTTTCCAGGCACTCCAACTCTCGACAGCGGCTGGACCCATCAAATACCGTAAGGGAGAGGAAAAGTAGCTGCAAATCGGGAAAATTGTGCGTTGGGGGCCAATTGGGAAGCACATTAACATCCGATCCGGTCATATCCAGCATACTGACTCCCTTCACAATGACTCCGGGCTGGTTATCCAACGGCCACAAGTTCACCTTGCTGTCGCCGCATTTCCAAAACGTTTCCCGACAAACACAGAAATATGGGCAGGCAACGACGGGGGTGGAGGCAGCGGCGGATACAGCGCGATTAACGGCTGCGGATGCAGCGAGAGCGCCGTCTGATAGTAAAGGGCGCTGTAGTGCAACAGCAGTACACGGCGATATTCCTGCTACCACGATAATTATCCCTGCAATTAATTGAGACATGCTTTTGTACAGCGTACAGTCATCGATAATTGAAAATTTTAGAGCTGACGAGCGTATTGCATGGAAGTGTTTTCAAAGTGAAATCCACAATCTGCTTCTCTCTTTCTGTCTGCACTTACCTTAGTAACACGATAATGTTAGGCCAATGAGCTAAAGAATGCTGTTCACTGATAAGATGAGTGTAGTTTTTATTCGTACACATCCACACAACAAAGCTTCATGGCGCCATCGTAATGGGTGAAGTCACACAAAAAATAAAAGTCAACATAATACTACTGAGAGCATGAGAACCTCCAGTAAATGGATTTCTTATCGCATGTTTTCGAAATAATAATGTTCTGCACTGCTTGTAACGGAGAGAAAGAGAAAAGCGATATCCTGCGTGTTGTAAATCGCAGTTCACTTAGTGGATGCATGGAAAGTGCATTCGGTACACAAGAGCAGATGATGGTTATACTGATGATAGAGGGAGACAGAGAGTGAGAGAAAGAGAGCGCGCGCCCATCTGTCTACCTGTTTATGACTGTGTGTGTGCGTGTGTGTGCGAGAGAGCGCGTGCTGCATGCTGCATGACTGCAACGCCAGTGTATCGCTGATACGCTGCGAACCTCAAGAAATTCGCAGCGCAGCTGCCGCTGTCTGTGCAAGTGTGCACGCGTGCAGTACGACTGCACGGCTGCGACGGGAGTGTATCGCTGATGCATCTGCTGTGCGAACCATAAGCAGACTCGCAGCCCAGATGCAGCCGGCGTGGTGTTGCGAGGGGTGTCGCCCCTGGCCCCTGGCAGGGGTGTGTTACAGCACACCAGAATGGGTAGTATTCATCAGGCTCCCATCGGTGCAACCTGGCATCCACTGCTCGAACGCCTTCAATATATTCGGCCCGTTATCAACACCAATGTACCCAATCTTTTCTCTAATTTCGCATTCCGCAATGACTTCTACTGCTAAAGTGGAAATATCTTCGGCTTTATGTGTGCGCTGAATCGGGGGCAGGCCAGCATATGTCGACGAAGTTTTCATTGGCGGTCCAAAGAAGTGCACCGTCATTCCAAGGTATCCCCGTTTCGAACGACTGCTCCAGATATCGATACAGAGAGCAACTGGCTTATCATCGGTTTCTTTCAGAAGTTGTTTCAAATTTTCTTTGGCGGTGTGTGTCATTTCCTGCTGCCTCCGATTAATGGTTCGTCTTGATGGCCACTAGATGCGAATTATCATTAAAACCGAAAACCGTGTAATCAACGTTGAATAAAAAATTCGCCTGCGCACAATGAATGAAATTTCATTATAAAAGTAAATTATTTAGGAATGTAGTGCAACGATGATTTTACAACGTTGGTAAAGCGATTAAGAATTAAACCCAGAATTTTGTTAAAATACAGAATATTTGCACTCACCATCAGTGTAAGGTTTCCAGCTCGAACTCCAAATGCCTCCAGTTTGGCTTGTTTCTTGGAACCGTCTGTAGCGCGTGGTGCAGTAGTGAACGCAACAACATCCTGTAAATTGTCATTTCTGTTATTTACTGAAGGGTAGATACTAGATATTATTACTTATTTACTGAAGGGTAGATACTAGATATTATTACACCTCACTCCAAAAAGCAGTGCTGCTGGAAAGTTTAAGTTAACAGTAAAACTTACTTGCGCTTTACTATGGTTTCGCTTCACATGGCTACCAAAGTTAGCGTAGCTGTTGACTGCATTAATACGCTTCCCTAATGGGCAACTTGCGGAGACGCACAGACGGCAGATTCCCGTGTGATTCCGTTGCGGGACATTCGATTTGCTCTTTCCGCTGACCGAAGATCTCTCAGTAAAAAATTCTTTAAAGTACTCCGCGTCCGTTCTCTGCAGACTGCTAGAACTTGAAGCCAACACCGACGTCCCCGTATTGGCCGACGTCGACATATCCGAATCTGGACTCGGCGCATCAGTATCCATCGGAATCCAGAAATAAAGTCACATCGAGACGAAAGCTGGATGACTTTTTTTACGAAGAACCAGAGGTTTCACAAAAATTTCAGTAAAAAAGTAAAAAAACTAAAACTTCTTACCCGTGTCTTAGCGTGTGATTTAAACCAGCATGTTAACTTCAGATTAAACCACCGCAGTCGGTTGCCAATGCCTTGCGTTTCCCAATGCATTACCATAGAGGCAACGTCTTGGGCGGTCGTAGCGTGCGTCTATTCAAGCAATTTTCTAGACGTATGCTTCTTATATTAAGGAAATTTATTATATGATTCTCGTCCAGAACGATACGAGTACAGTAATAATTCTGATATTTTCCCCATGTTAATTTCATTTTTGCTAGGAACTGGAATCCGCAAAGTTACGCTAAACTCGAGTTGCGTTATCTTATTTTTGAGTTGCGCTAGAGTTAAGTTTTCCTCTCGGCGAGTTAAGTTTGAAAGTTAAGTTATAACTCGTTAACTCGAAAAAAACTCGCGTCAAGTTAAATAGTTAAAATTAACTGCCCAGGTCTGGTAAGATGCTTTTTGAGAGGACACAGGAGAAACGGTCCACTCAGTTTCTGAAGCAGAGAATCAGTGTTGCTTTAATGCGAGGTAACGCTGCTTCTGTTCAGGAAACGTTTTGTATCGGTAAGAGACTTGGCGAAGTGTATTATGTGTTGAAATGATGAACTGCGTAATTTTGCTTTTAACCTATGTCAATGGAATAAACCAATTAAAATTTTTTCCTGCGCCCATAGCCACAAAATGCAAAATTTATACTGTAATTCGTGATTCTTGCCGGGACTGCAGACTGGCAGTGTGTCATTTTGACGTCACTGACAAACAGGGAGTTTACGGTGTGCCAACAGGAGAACTACGCATTGGCTCTGTTTCTGTTCGTGTGCTATCATATGGGCGGTGGTGTAATACCGTGGCCACAGCACTGCCACTTAATTTAAGGAAACTATAAACATTTTTATCACACATTTGTCGCCCCGTTTGCAGAGGATAGTTTTCTGTAAATTCTTATGTATCTGCCAAATTAACAAAGACAAAGTTTGCGAACGCACGCTGTTTAAGAAGTGCCGGGATGAGCACATGTTGTTATGGGCCTACGATGACTTCCCGGCGTAGCTTAGGCGTACGGCTCCCAACCGCCACAGGGCGCCATCCGGGCGAGAATCGTCAATTCTCGTTAATATTTTGGAGAAAATTGGCTAGCCTACTCGTAGCTGTTGAATTTTTAATTTTGCTTACTGATTAGTGTTTACTTTTAGTACTGATTACTGTCAGGAAAAATGCACAGACTGTGCAGCATCACTACTGATTACTATGCTTCTGTCTTCTGTGATCGATAAACTTCTATTCTCGTCGCGCTGTCGCATGCCTAACGGAGGTAGACTGGAGAACACTTCAAGTACCCACTACACATGGTCATAGTGTTGAGTCTGTTGACAGCTTGGCACTCTGTTCAGTCTGCACATTCATACTGGCTACTGCATCGTGGATATTCGCCTGCAATTTGCAGTTTTTATTGACAATCATATCAGCAGAATTGCAGATGATGATTGAGGGATTGTTGGTGTTTGGGTAGCTTAATCGCATCGGACACGTGTTACTGGCTTCGGCGAGCACGAAGATCTGGAGCGGGCGTGCAGTCTGCGCAGCTGCCATGCAGATGTTTTGCAGCAGTGTGGCGACGTGGAACGCCGTGGATGTGCTCATGGACGGTCTGCTGCAGCACGGCCACGTGGTCAGCGTCGTGGACGGCGGTCTGCTGATTGACTGGCAGTGTGGCCTGGGCCCACAGCGTGAATCCGCACATGTACAGCTGGTCGAATATGGACGCATCTTCCAGTGCCGCCAGCCAGTCCTGGCACGCCCCCGAATCCCAGTCCCCCACGACGACGAGTGCAGCGAGGAGGACGTCGATCACGAGGGGCTGTCGGTGCAGGTGCTGCTGCGCCGCCATCCCAATCCCGGTGCCGCCTGGATCTGGTACCCGGGAACGGCGGTCCCCGTTGCATCCTACCACTATGAGCATTTTGTGTGGGTGCAGGTGCAACTGTCGGACGGGCAGGGCATCGTGGAAGAACTGCTGCCCTGGATGCAGGTGCGCGCCGTCACACCGCCCGCGGGTGCGGGCCCCGACAGCGGTCTGGCCCGCGTCGTGCAGGGCGCCTTCGTCATCCGCTCGTGTCATCTGCCGGCATCAGCCTCCAGCCGTATCGCCCCGGCCCTGCTGCTCAAGCAGGTTCTTGGTGGTCGACGGGGCAGAGTCTTGTTCGTTTCGCTCTTCAACCAGACACTCCTCTACCTGCAACGGGAGACGGACACGCCGCTGACAGCTGAGCAAGTGGTAAGCCGTACATGCTCTTCGACTTAATTATCTGGCACGGGTGATCCTGTACTACTGCGGTACGGAACTATAAAGTGTGTAACGGAATTCAATTAAGAAGTGAATTCCATCAAACATGGGCTATAGCTTACAAGGGTATTTCTGCTGCAGGCTAAAATTGATACCGTGTTACTTCCAACTACAGTCAGCCAACAAATTGTTGTTTTTACCCAAGCTGCCCATGTAAAGGAGGATATCTTGTAGCTGGTGAAACGGGTAATGTTTGTAAGGCGTTGCTTTGACTTCGTTGCAGGAAGGGTTCTGTGCTGAGGAGGATGAAAGAAGAAGATACTCTGCTTGTGAAGCTAACTCGCACTGGCTTTGGCAGCAGTTGCAGCTGCTGGGGGTGTCGGTCATTCGGCCACACAGTCGCAAGGTCAGCATACCGGTGGCCAGTGGCAGTGGTACAGGGGCTTGCTTGCGCCTGCCGTTGCCGACGGAACTGCTGCTGGAGGTCTTCCGCTGTCTGGACTCCGTTGGGCGCGTGCGCTGCTGGCGGGTGTGTGCCGCGTGGCACCGCATCCTCCGCACGACCGGGAACTTCCCCGATGTGTGCGTCTCCGCCACGGAAGGCGAGTACGGCCCGACGCCGTGGTTCTTTGAGAGTGTGCCCCAGGCCGGCGTGGGCGGCCAGTACTGGGTGGTGGCCTGCCTGCTCAAGTGCCTCACCGCCCGCACCCAGCTGGCGGTCTTCATTCATTTGCAGGTGCACCACGCCCGCCAACTGGCCGCACCCCTCCAGCACGTTCTCCGGCCCAGTCGACGCCGACTGCCGACGCTGGTGTTCTACGACTGCGATTTCGGTGGCAGGACGTGTGTCGACGGGCTCATTGGCCGGACGGTTGATCTGGCCGTGCGGTGTAACTGCGAGCGGATGGTATGGAAGCAGTGCTGCATGGTGACGCAGACGGCGGGTAAGAGGCAGCTGGCCCTTGTCCCGCTGCAGGCCTTCAGCACGCAGTCACAGCCGGAGATGGAGCGGCAGTTGCGGGCGGTCTGGGAGGAGAATCGCGGCCTGCAGCCGCCGCCAGTCGCCCCGCGCCAGCTGTTGCCCGCCGCCGCCGCTATTGCTGACTCCACATGTATCGGCCAGCCGCGGGACAGAGAGACGGACGTTGTGCGTTAGGCACCGCCATGAATAGCCGGTGCTTACTGGGGGACTGGATTCACGTTGCAGGCTCTCGACTTCCAGCAACCACAGTGGGATCCACATCCGTCTACGCAGCACCGCAATGTGCAGTGGACGGCGTCGGCTCGCGGCGATTTCCACGTGGACGTCAGTCCGCTGACGACAGTGACGGCGATGCACGATGCCGTGATTAGACTGGCTGCTGGCCCGTGGCCGGCAGCCGTCTTCCTTGTCGACGGGTTACCCTGTCCGGACGGCATTCGGCCGCCCCAACGCGTCTGGCTTGGCAACAACCTTCGCTCATAAATAGATTATGCAAAATAATACTTACTAACAGTTGATTTTCCTGTTAGTCTTCACTTTTTATACAGTGTCGTTAGCAACGAAAAGCTTCACAACGTCCTCATAGGCTAAAATGGTTTGTGTTATGACATTTTGTTTATTTAATGTGCATTGTGCTAAAAACAATTAAATTCCTGTTTTTAGAGCAAATTAGTCAGCGTTGCGGTACTGCTATTTAATAATAAATATACCGGTAGGTGAAAAAGTTGTTGGCAGTGGCAAGTTACAAAAGTTGCAGACGCTGGTACTCTACGCGACAGTTAAAAGTCAAAAATAACGAAAGCTCACGTTTTCTCTCGGGTTATAAAGGTACCGTGCTTGAAAGGGCCGTATCAGTTCTTTTACAATAGCAAGACGACAACGCTGCTTCAGAAAAGTAGTAGACCGCGCGTCTCCGGTTAATTCCTGAATTTAATTTACCACCCACGAAATACAGCAATTCAGGTAAAGGCGGACTAAATTACCTCGACCTAGACGCGACGATGATGGAGGTAGCCACTAGCCAGTGGGCCGGATGCGCGCGCTACAGGCGGCCTGTGCGACGTGTACTGGCCGGGAGGTCGTGTTGCATCGTTCGGGATACGACCTGCCCTACCCCGGGCTACCCGTCATGCAGCCTCCGCGGTTTGGCAGTGACAAGGTGAGCAGCCTCCGCCCCTTTCCCTGGACGCCCTCACCAACGCAACGCGGACTTCCGCCACCGGAAGCGCTCCTTCCGCTGGGCGTCACTGCGTCATGCGTCCAACCGACACAACCGCCTTCTCAGAACACAGCGCAACTGGACGAAATCACTTCCGGTGAGCCGTATCGGTCATTGGCATATCCATCTGGATGCGATGCGCCTGGACCATTTTGATTTGCATGGTTGGGAACCTCGAGCCGGGGACCCACCCTCCTTTGGTTGCCGTACAACCTGCAGGTCGGTGCCCTGCGCAGTATCCAGGATATCCACGGCGTGGCCAATGGGTACAGGTGGGTGCTGCTATCTGTACGATCCGAAGAAAGGTCATGCACTGGCCGTCCGCTGCTGGCTATGCACATCCTTATTGGCATGGCGCTTAAAAAATTAAGCGACCACCGGGACGTGGTCGCCGACTCGCGAAAAATCGCAACGCCGGCCGGAAACGGTTACGAAACAACATTCCAGTTGCCGCGCCTGTTTGACATCTTGGAGCGCACTATCAGCCGGTGGACGCTGTCCGGTCTGTCCCGGACGTTAATGGACGGCGTCATCAATTCGGTACTGAAGGCGGCCGTCTAGGCGTCTACGCATACCGCTGTCTATCCCCGAAGAGTATTCGGCCGCAGATGATCGTGCTGCCGCTACCGCTGCGGAAAGCCAGCAACCCGCTGACCGCCAGCAACCCGCTGACCGCCAGCAACCCGCTGACCGCCAGCAACCCGCTGACCGCCAGCAACCCGCTGACCGCCAGCCACCCGCAGCAGCACTGGCACTGGAGAAAACTAGGATCCTTGACACGGACCTGCCGGGCGCCGTACCTGCAAAGGTCACAGTCATGTCCCTCTTCCTACCCGTCGCCAAGATGTGGTTCTCTCAGCCACGCGCCGCCGGCGATTTGCATGTTTTCTTTAAGACGACCTCCCTTCCCTCAACAATGTACTGGAGACGGAAGTCAGGCAAGTGCGGTAGTTTCTGAGGGCGGTTAGCCGCAGTTGCCGCGCGTTGACAACCGCCGGATGGAAGAACATCCGTCCAGCATGTGAGTGACGAGCTATTCTCAAGCCGGTGCCGACCAGCCGGCCCAACGCTCTGCGCGATAGCAGCGCACAAGTCCAAGTGTCCAACGGCCCGTCATTATACAGCTATATGTGGACGCCAGCACATTGAAATGTGGTGCACCACTTACCGATATTTTTCCGCCAGTGGATTGACTGACTGATTGTTTTTATTAAGTACTAGTAGCCAAGCGGGGCACAATCCGGCACTATCACATATCCACTTGGGAGAAGAGGCCCAAGCGATTGTTCGTTTGTGTGCTCTAGTTACAGGGCCGGAAGACCCGCAAAGTTACCGGGTAGCCGCGTAGTTAGAGGAAATGCAGCAGCCGGTTTGGGTACTGAAGCGTGTAATCACCGGAAGTGTGTAAACCACCACCGGGTGGAAGTTTGTAGAGATTACCTGTTAATCACTGATTAACAGGCTGTTTGATGCGGCGGTGTTGAAAGGAAAATTCTAATGAATTTAATGGAGTTTTGCCTGTCTTACGTGACGGCAATATAATTTGCTAACGTACGTGTGATGATTGAATTATAGTTGTGAGCCGTATGTTTGTGTGTTGTGATTGTGTAATTGACCTTTCCTTATCCCGTGCATTACCACCAGCACAGAACAGTCGTTTTGGTCTCCAGGACCGCCTAACAAGCAATCCTCGTTGAGAGACTTGAGAGTCTCGTTGTAGTACACTGAACGCACGTCCTATGGTCTGAGTGGCACTAACGATTTTGGACGCATTTCTGATGTTGGAATTTTTCATCTTTCTAAGCAGTGTACATCTGCGCAAGCGTATTGTTATGTGTAAAGGCAGCGGTTAAAATACAACTTTGGATTTTTGCACCAGATTGCCCCGCTGTGAAATTGTTAACAAGTTTTTGTTTGCGTGGCCAGCGGGCAACGAACGGACGTAATCTAACAACAGGAATATTTACCACCACACAATACATGCATTATTAGCATGCAACACTATTCATGACAATAATACTACTAAAACGATGCTCTTAAAGCATCTCAACTCGAATTGCTTACTCAGCGCTTCGAGGGAGCTTACGACTGTTCAGGTTGGAAAAGAATGTAAAATCACGAATCAGCTATGATTACAATTACCAGAAAGCGGCCCGACGGAGTGACAGCTTTCCCATAGAAGAATGGAAAGCCGCTAGTGTGGGATGTTACCGTGGCAGACACATTTGCCCAAACTTACATCGGCCAGACGTCCAGGGTGCCGGGGACGGCGGGGAGTGCAGCGGAAATACGGGAAAACCGTAAGTTAGGAAAGTACAGCGGGCTGGCAGATCGCTACATTGTTCAACCGATGGCGTTCGAGACAACGGGAACATTTGGACCGCTGACGAAGAAGTTCTTTAAAGATTTGGCGCGAAAGATTTGTGACTGTACATGCAACCCTCGCTCAGGGGAGTTTTTGCGTCCGAGAATAAGTATCGAGATTCAGCGAGGAAATGCAGTATCTGTTCTCGGTACTTTTAGTGACATGGTGGAGAAGGAAGATGTGTATTTTGCCTTTAAAATTAGCTAAACGGCAATGATGTCAAGGATTGTTGTTCTTGTTACTTGTGAGTAGTAAAAGGCGTCCCGCAAAGGGATTTTGATCTCTACTTCCCTACTGGACTTCCTGACTGCAGTTTGTGACGTCACAATAAGTAATCAAATTCCACAAAAAGTTGAAACTAAAACTATACTTTGTATTAATAATTTACAAAATATTACCATAGTTACTGATTAAATCGTTAGTTGTTGACTGTATTTAAATATTTGCTCTTAGTTTTCTATAGTGTATAAGGAATCCCTTGACCATTTACTGTACTGTATTATTATTTGATTTATGTGCGGGGATAGTATAAAGTAGATGAAAGCATTAAAAACTAAAGCGGATAAGACGCATAAAAAAATTACGTTATTCAGAATTTTATATAGTTTTTAAGCACAACAGCGAAATGAAAACCGGTAAGTAATAGCTTGTTATTCATCGTCCGAGGTGCTCATCTCCGATTCGCTTTCTCCTATGTCATCCACGCGCGGGTCATCACGGACTTCCGGATGGTCACCTGACAAAATGAAATAAAACCATAATATTATAGGAAAATGAATACACATAGACAAGCTGATCATACCATACAGCGCGTTCTTAGCCAGGTTTATGGCAACATCCAGTTTGTTCAAAGCAGCGCTGACATCACGTCCGTTCTCAGACTGGGTCAGGTATCGGTCAGCAATGAGAGTGCTAACAGTGGACATTTCTTGACAATGGGAAGAAACGCTTCCTGGGCTGCAAGAAACTGTGAAATAAAACTTAATACAAGTCAGAGAAACTACACTTACCAATGGTCATCTTCAATGTTTAGCTTTGATTTGAGATGTTCAAAGCCATTTATCAGGGAGAGGCAGTGTTCCTTAATTTTGTCGTTATACATTGATACAGAGTTTGACAGCTCAGTCAGTTGTTTCCACAAGGATTTGTACGCCTTGGTTCTGGCCTTGAGCTCACTCTCCGACAGCTGATTGGTAGGCACAAGTTCACTGGTCGTTCCAATGTGAGTTCGCGAATTTTTCTCCAGCAATTTCGTTTCGTCTTGTTTCTTTTTGTTGTCAGCGATGATGCGCGTGATTTTTGTGAGTAGTGTGATGGGTAGTTTGATATTTCATCGATCCAGTAGCCTCATCAGACGATGGCATACTGTCTGGCGGACAGGCAGCCAAAAGAGTTGCAATGCTTTCCATGTGATACTTTTCCATTGCTTGTGCAACGTCCAACAGCTTCTTCAGTATCACAATAATAGCAGTGAACATTGCTTTCTGATGGTGGTGAATGTACGCAAGGTCAAGAGCGCTCTTCTGAACTTGCGCACCAGTTTACCCTGTAAATAAATGCAACTGATAATTAGGTTACTGCATAAAAACATTTCTTACCGTCTTGGTGCGCCATTCGTCGGACTGGATGTTTAAGTACTTGGTGGTGTCCACAGCCAGCCGGTTTCTATATTTGATGTCGTAGACATTGCTATGGCTGGCAAAATCCTTAAAATATTGTAGTTTCGTTGCGGGTTTTTGGAATCCCTAAAAGGCAGTAAACGTCAATACATACCGCCATTTCTTTTCAACTTTACTTAGGACTTAAAACTGACAACTACAACAGTGGGTGAAACTTACAGAATTATTATGATTAAATAACGAATATAATCGCTGCGCTTGCCAATTGCTTACGTTAGTGTACATGTTCATTTAAACAGAATTACCCATAATTGTGCAACACTTCGTTTTGTTTTTTTATTTTAGGGTATCATTTGGAGCATTTATCGTTTACGTGCGTTTGTTGTTTACCAC